CATGTATATGGGGCGGTGTAATTATGTTCTAGTTGTGATGACTGAAGTGCAGCAGTGATTAGCTACATCAGAGGCGATTTATGTTCAGCAGTCACTTGGTTTGGACTTCCAGAGTTGCCACTCCTCCCTCTCTGTCACTCGCTCTCTTCCATCCCTGGATCTCCAGCTTACCTCGGCTCTGGAGACATAGCGTGCCTCTAGTCACATCCCTAGAGCAAACTTCTTCCAGCCCCACCTTTTAATCGCGTGTTCTCCTTCATTAGTTGAAGTCCCAGATCACGTTAGTATGTCTCAAGTTTCAGATTGTCCCAAAACTACGACCTCTACAGCCAGTCTCTAAACCAATCTGTTCTTCGTTCAGGTCCCATAGCTAGACTGCACTAGCCCTTCTTTACACCAAACTGAGATCTGATCTTTTAACCACACAAACCCTTCTTTTCAGCCTCATCATAAATCTAATCATCAGTCCTCTAGAGTCACTTGCCCCAGGCCCGTTCCAGCCTTTCTAAGCCAAACTTTGGAGCAAACATGTTTTGTTTTTTTCCTGTTCTCCATCCTGAAACCATAACTGTAGATTCCACTTATTCTCCATTCAGCTTCACTCACAAACCTAACCTCAAGTAAGTTGCAGGTGTGGACTAAACCTTACCATATTTTAGCCACATCTCTAAATCAAATCATGCCTCATTACAGAACACACTCCAAAACAAACTCCTCATCCTGTAGCTTAATCCATGACTGAGACTAGCCCCACAAGCCTCAACTTAAGCCTTACCCTCCAGCTGCACATGCAAATAGTCTAGGACCAATGGCAGGAGACAGTCTGCGCCCCTCTCTACTAGTACTCTAAGAGTACTACGCTTTTAACACACCCTAAGTGACTCCTGTGTCCTCACTCTGAGCCAGTGGGTCAGCACAGACCAGCCCTAACAGCATGACTGCCTGTCTGAGGAATGCCATGTCATGGAACAGATGGAGCTCCACAGTCAATAGAGCTGCATGCATTACCCAGCCCTATGTACGAAGGTATGTGCCACGCTTTGCGTGTGCATGTATGTGATTTGCATTGTGTCACTGTTCTCGATGCACTTTGCATCCTTTGCCCCCCGTCTTTACATTCTTTCCAAAACACAACAAGCAGCAATGAGACAAAGAAAGATACACCCTTGGAAGAAAACTTTGAAAATGATGCAAACACGCCCAAAAGGCACGATTCCCCACATGGTGTGATGCAATGGAGAGATAATGCAGAAAATCCTGGAGATGCATGGAAATATTGGCCTCTGCACACAAGCTGAGGTTGGCTAAAACTAAAACAATCCCATGAACCAATAAGTTACTACTTTCAGTTCAATCAATAACACATTATCTCATTCACCTTGCCACTAAAGATCAAATAAAGCGGATTTCCAGACCACAAATGCTGTAATAGGGTGGTTATAACACCTATAGATCATCAATACAACAATAAAGTTGGAGTTTTTCTTAAATTTTTAGAGCATTATCTGGAGACTCCTGCACAATTAGACAACCTGTGCGCACGCAGTTGGCGTGAAAGAGTCGATCAGAGTCCAGGCACAGTGTAGTTGTGGTCTTTGGTGATGGATCACAGCTGTGAGCTGTTATCATAAAGACCAAGGCTGCCACATTTCATTCATTTCACATATATGGGCCCGCTGGCGAGGTCCATATCAGAGCGGTGCCCTTCCAATGAAACATTAAATCAGCTCCCAAACTATTTACATCAAGAATTTAAACGCACGCTGAGTGGATGGCTCCATTCTTGGTTGTGGGTCCAGTCGTTATGGAGACATTACCGGATTGCTAAATAAGGCTGGAAGTGTCAGTAAATCGGGATGCCAGATTGGACGCGAATCCAGTGAACTCACCCAAGAGAACGACGGATGATCGGCTCCCCGCTCCTCCTCCTCTGTGTAAATCCAGGACCCCGGACACAAATAAATTAGCCCTGTACGAGAATCAGGCGGAATGTGTAATTTCACAAAAATCCCCTCTTCATCCGCACTACCAAAGCGATGGAGTGGAGGCGACGTGGAGCCGCAAACCAACCTGGTCGACGTAGGCTACACACACACGCACACACACATAAACACGCAGGCACAATTTTTTTTAAAAAATTAAAAAAGCAGGGAGTCTGTCTTATTCGTGCAATCAAAGCGATATTTCCCCAAAAAGGCACCGACTCGGGGTTTCGGGAGGGGGGGCTGATTTCGGTGGAATCGGTGTAGTAATCTCGGATGCTTTGGTTGTTGACTGTGCACTTACTGGGCTGCTTCCCCCGGCTCCACCCGCTAACCCAGCCTTCCCAGTGCGCCCATTGGCACAGACGGCCGGACATGCAAATCTACTCTTCCCATTGATGTTTTCCAGAAAAGAAAAAAAAGGACAGCGTTGTGGTTCTGTTGCTCTACTGCGCCACCGTGCGGCATCTAACCTGCTGTGATTCACGGTTTACTAAAGCCCTGTTTTAAGAAAGTCCCCGTGCCTCCCTAAAACACAGGTGTCAAACATAAGGCTCGGGGGCCAGAATCGGCCGACAAAGACTCCAGTCCAGCCCACTTTTAGCTTCATTGTCAGTGAATGAATGTGAATTATGTCTGGGCAGTGAGCTACCAGAACGTTTTTCTGTCATTTTACAAATGTGTTTATTTGTTCTGACAGATGTCTTTCATTTACTACAACTGCATTTCTTTTTCATGTACAACGACTGATACCCACTGTTGAAATTACACTTCTTTTTCTTGTATTAAATGCAATTAAATGTTTAGTTAAATTACTTTACACTGACAGAAGGGGGAGGTTTGCTGGTTCGGCCCACTTAACATCAAAGTGGGCTGTATGTGGCCCACAAGTTTGATATCTCCGCCCTAAGAGGACACCCGCCCATTTTAGCAAGGCACAAAATTTTAACTATATTTTGCAAATGTAGTTAAATTAACACTGAATTTCTCCAAGATTACAAGCACTTTCTCTTCAAAGATTTTTAAGGACACAGTATTTTACATATTGTGAAGCAATGATGTAGAAAGTTCGTAGATTGTTCAATGTTAAAAAGTCCATACTGAACACATGGCTGCTTTATTAGTTACACTTTCCTAGCACCAGATCAGACCCTCCTTCAGAACTTCTTTCATTTTTTGTAGCACAGATTCAGCAAAGTCGTGAAAACAGATGTTAGCCCTTTACGATGTTCACAGATGTTGGTCCATATTGACATGACAGCATCACACAGTTGCTGCATATTTGTCAGCTGGAAGCTCTCACTCTCAATGGTGCACTGTTGGATTGAGATCTGGTGACTACAGATTAAACTGACTGTCAGGTTCAAGAAACCAGTTTGAGATGATTTAAACTTTGTGACAAGGTGCGGGATCATGCTGGAAGCAGCCATTAGAAGATGGGTACACTGTAGCCACAAAGGAATGATCCTGGACATGGAGCCTATAATCTAAATGTCACAACAGAAACAGAGACTCATCAGACCAGGCGATTTTTTCCAAGCTTTTTTTGTCCAGTTTTGGTGAGCTTGTGGGAATTGTTCCCTCAGTTTCCTGTTCTCAGCTAACAGGAGTGGCAGCCGGTGTTTGTAAGTGTTAAGCGTGTATTTTTCTGGCGATATACTTCACAAACTACATCACACACAGCTGTGATGAATACTGTGCTGCAAACAGTGCTCAGATTGTATACAAACATGTTGCTGGAGCTTGTCAAAAACCATTTTCAACATCATATTCTAGAAGAAAAACATACCAGTAAGTCTGCAATAGCCTGATTAAAACTGGTCTGATTAAAACTAGTGACAAAGGTGGCAGTAATTCTGACTATTACATATGTGGGTAGGTATTTTATAAGTGAATCATATATTACATCCTACTTAATGTTGGAGAGGAGAAAGTTTGAAACTGCTTCCATCATAGTCAGTTTTCACCAAAACTGCTACTCACTCTTTGTCTTTACACACAAACAAAATGTAAACAGTGACACCTTCAATGACAATACGTTTTCACATACGCACCACATTTAACACTTCATAAACGGGTTGGTTCTGGTAGAAATCACCTCACACCGGTCCAATGTTGAGCCTCAGTGAAAGGGCTGAGACCAAGAAAAAAAAAGGCTAACTGAAGCCAGCTGCTTCTTACACGCAGAGAAGCACTTCAACTTTCCATTGCGTGAAACTACAAGAGAAGAATGTGCTTTTTCTTCTCTGTACATGTGCAGCGGCCCATTTCCAAGACTCAGGAAAATAAACTTGATTCCAATGCAGAGTGCAGGAACGAGCAGACCTCGCTGTAGGAGCAGCTCAGCAGCTGTACTGTGCAGGACGTCGCGGAGCTCAGTGGAAGGACTCAAAGCCCCCTCCTCAATCTCTCTCTCTCCATCAGGTTTTTATAATGCCAGTGAAGGCCCAATACTTCTGCTCCCATGATTGTGTGAGAGCCTTGCAGGCAGCTGCGTAGTGCTCTAATGGCTTGGTCGCAGACTAAACTGGCAGCACTGCCTTGGAACGAAAATAGTTCCTGGAAAACACAGCTCCATCAATGCCACCATTAGCTCAAATCTAACATTGTTTCAGCTCAACTACTATTATTACGCGTAACTGTCAATACAAGACCATTGCAGGAAAACGGTGAGGTCAAACATGGCCTCCGGTCACTGACATTTCCCAAAACAGGTCTAAATGTGAAACGGAAAGATCAATAGGGTGTGGAAGAATCATTTGTTTGTAGACACCTGCCAGTAAAGCTCACTTTGTGACAAACAAACAAACAATACTGTTTCAGATTTTATTTCATTACAAAAGTAAAACATGCAGAGCACACTGCCTTCTAAAGATACAGTGCAGGTATTTGCAATAAATAAGCATGAAAAAGAGCTGACGGTACTTCATGTTATGGAGTTTTATGCCAAGTGCACTTTATAATGCAAGGCCATTATTTTGTAGGGTCCATTAGACTGTCTTCTCTAATTAATCTGATAATCTGGTCATCTCAGCTGGCAGCCATCACATTTAGGTGAAAGCTTTATTCACCAACTCATCAGCAAGCACAAAATGCCTTCTATAAAAACAGGACTCGGCAGTTGGCAGCGTCTGTGATTCAGTGCAGGGGCAGTATCATCACCCCCAAGATAGAAGATACTCGCTCCACTTAAAAATAAGGTGGAGCTCGCAGGCAAACCCAGCTGAAGCTGGGAGGACAAACAGAACATGCAGCTCTCCTTGCTTTGTGTGTTTACTTTTACAAAATCTAATCAGAAAGCCTGCACTTCTCTGTGATCAGGTCATTGTTTAATTTCTATCTGTACATAAAAGTAAAGGTCACACCAAAATGTTGTGTTTGGACATCCTTAACAACATCCTCACACTGATGTGAGTGACGCGTAGCAGCAAAAGTCATTTGTGGTCTTTGTTAGAGCACGCTGGCAAAGTCTGTTATTACTGACACGATGTACGTCCAATCCAGTGGCTCCACTTGTGGAGTTAAGTGTGACTCTTTTCTGTCTCTGTACTCCTGAGCCACTCTGAGAAAGGCAAATTAAGAAACTTGTCTCAGAACTGCTAAGCCCTAGCCTGCGCTGCATGCCCGGCCTGCCTACGCTGCATGTAGGCGTGGTACACATCGAGGAACATGTCCTTGCACGGTATTTTCGCCTTCAGCTTGGAGCAGATGAGGAAGGAGCCGGCCATCTTGCGGTGGAGGGAGTAGGTCTCCTCAGGTGGAGGGGTGAGGCGGTGGCGGAGCATGACCGGGATGAGGCTCTGAACGCGCTGAGTAGTGCTCTGAGTGCCGAAGTCGAAGGGCTCGGCGGATGCGAAGGCTTCACCGAGAATCATCACCGCTTCCACGTGAGCATCTGCGAAGGCCTGTCGTGGAGCAGGAAGAAGAATTACAGCAGGCATGTTAATGTCAGAGCATTAAGTATGCATGATATCTTGGACTGTATATATAATTACATGAGTTTTCTTTAACTGAGTCATATTTCATATAATAAATGACACTTTAATAGCACACATAGGCTGATACACGCCAAAAGTACTTGCTTGTCTGCCTTTACACGTATCTGAACTTGAGTGACATCTCATTATAAATCCATAGGGTTTAATAAGCCATATTCCACAATTAAGAGTGTGCTTATGGGAATTTTTGACCATTCTTCCAGAAGCACATTTGTGAGATCAGACACGGATGTTGGACAAGAAGACCTGGCTAACAGTCTTCAATATCTATCGGGTTGAGGTCAAGCCAGTCAAGTTCTTCCACACCAAACTCACTCATCTGTGTCTTTAAGGACCTGCTTTGTGCACTGGTGTGCAGCTTCATGGCTGAGTTGCTTTCATTACCATTAACTTCCACTTTGTTAAATATCACAAACAGCTGACTGTGGAATATTTAGCAGAGAGGAAATTTCACGGCTGGACTTGTCGCACACGTGGCATCCTATGACAGTACCACGCTGGAATTTGCTGAGCCATTATTTCTTAAATGTTTGTAGAAGCAGTCTGCATGCCCAGGTGCTTGACCTTATACACCTGTGGCCATGAAAGTAGTTTAGATCTCCTCTTCAAGATCTTCTTCTTGTGCACCTCTGCTGTAATTTTAAGACTGTGTGTAAAATCCACTGTTTCCCTTTGCAACATCTGCTCAAGCGTGTCAAAACAATGATGCTTCAACTTGAGGGGGACCGAGGAGCAAGGAGTCAAATCAGGTGAGTAAAGATTCCAATCGTGTGACCACAAAACTCCTGTTATTTCAGGGTGCTGTTTGCCAGCAAACAACAGCTTAAGTTTTTTCTGCTTAATTTCCTCCCACGCTCCTGACCTGAAGCGCTGCCTTTGGGCTACAACACTGTGGACGACTCCTGCTTGGTCTCTGGGTTGTAACCAGAGAAATGACTGTCATTAGCAGTTTGATACAGAAGAGATGAAATAGCAGAAGGGCAACCTTAAATGTTTAGAACTGGACTTCCACAGAGCAGCAACTCTGCAAGCAGTCCTCAGGTGCATGACAAGAGACCCTTTAACTTGTAATGAGTCAAGGTTATAAACCAGGTAAGCATCATGTTGCATTTATCTACTGAAAACAAAAGGGAACATAGTGAAACGGGGTAAGAGCATAAGGGCTGTGCGCTGCAGTGAAACAGTGCTGAATGCAAACAAACTGAGAACACAAAAGAGACAAAAACAGATCAAGCATATCAAAAATAAGCAGCAGCAGCGACTAAAATAAAACTACCTTGGCCTCGAAGCCCGTCAGGAATTTCAGGTCCTTGGATTTGGAAAGAACGGTGGCTCGATCGCCGACAGAAGCTGCATAAATCACCTGAGCACACAACACAATCTTGTTTATTTACAGAGCTCCACTTTCAGGCTGAATGTGTGCACATGCATGCGACTGTTCACAATCTCGCTTTGTTTTTTTTTTTGCCTTGGCTGACACAAAATTTAACCAAAGGCTCCGACGTTAAATTATTGAGAGAAACCTTGATGCATAAATCATGTTGCGAGGTTGACTGCGGGCAGATTTATCATACCTGTATGTAGTCGTCTGTGAAGGATTCTGGGTAGCTTCTGCACGCTCCAAAATCCAAAAGAACAACCTAAAGACAAGAGTGAAATGAATCTGCTGTATTTGACATCCCTATTAACATTTAACATTGGTTTAAACATGGCATGACTGCCCCACCTTGTTGGTGTCTGAGTTGTAGAAGAAGTTGGCCCAGTTTGGATCCGTCTGCATGAATCTGAACTCAAACAGCTCCCTGAGACACAGCTGCAGGATGCTGGAACAGATCTGAAGTGGAGAGAAGAGGCTTGTGTTCACCATCATGCTGTCATTTAACAATGTGACATTTCCTTCCACCCTTTGGATCCTATCCTGTGTAGCCTTCTCATGGTGCTGTGATTCCCTGCCACACTGTGTCCACTCTGTCTAAAATTTGTTGCCTTATCTCAGCTCTGAAACACATATTTCCACAGTGACACAGAGTATCACTTCCACACTGCACTGTAGGTGCTGCTGAATAATTTACCACCAAGTCATTTTGTTCTGAGAGATTTATATGAATCTGCACTTGTCAAGAGTACAACACATGTCAAAACTTATGATTAAATTGCTTTAAATTTTGTTACCAATTACGAATGGAAGGTGAAGACCTCGCAAACTCTACGCATATTTAAATTTAGACTTGGCGACAGGGTAAGTCTTTAATAAAAGCCTCGTATGGGGGCAGAGCTATCCGATCTGCTCCTGCTCATCAGAGGCTTTCAGCTCTAATTGGTTCCTACAATTAGAGCTCCAGACTGTCATGGACCTCTAATTGCAGGCTTCCCAGCCCAGGACTGCCCCGTGGATGATTTTCACTGAGTCTTCTGTAAAATTGGATGACCTTTACTTCACTATGCATGTTTTAAACTGAAGCATCTTAATGTGATTTTCTTTTCTTTCTTTTTTTTTTAACCCAGTTGAGCATCACCACCACAATAACATCCCCTTGTATTCCAGCGCAGTTCAAACCCTAGCACCTAGACATCTGACAAATGAATGAAATTCACCTAACTGTTGAAGTAAAACACACCTGGTTCCTGGTCTCCTGGTCCAGCTCTACGCACATGTCCAGTGGGACGCCCTGCACCAGTTCCATGGCGAGCACCCTCTGGCCTGACAGCTCATCAATCACCTCGGGGACTTGGAAAAACTCATCTCCCTCCAGCAGTGATCTAAAGGCCGAGGTACGAGAGAGAGCAAGAAAAAAACTAACAAAAAAAACAACTTAATGATTTATGATTAGGTTATTTGCAAAATGGAAAATATGCAAAACCCAAAATATACAAAACCAATCTCAAATCACACGCAAAGACAGTTAAAATTAACTATACCATAACTGCCTGCATTATAATTAAGTAAAGATTACCAAGAAATGCTAAATGTGATGCTTGATTTACTAATTACACTTGAAATATATATAATCTGCCACCTCTACTGGTATACTGTACATTATAAAAAAACAATACATCAGCTAGATGTGTACCCAGACAGCTTAGGTTGAATGTATATGTTCTGTGGCAGCTAACAGGACATAAGTATTAAGAATCCACCCTGTAACGTCAGTGTAGCTCAAACGGTACACAGCAGCACAACACCGGCCTGGGTTCAACAGAAACCTACCTGAACTTCTTGGCACATTGTGCTTCCCTCTTATAGTCACACTCCCATGCCAGTTCTCTCTGTAGAACCTCCAAGCTGCTGTCTGCAAACAGACCTGTGGAAAAATAAATGGTGCAAAGAAAACACACAGACCATGTCATCTTCTAACAGAGCAGGGTAGCTTCTGTCTAAAAATAATTCATATACTGCATGAGTATGTAGCAGGGAGAACACAGAAACAAAATCAACATCAGGTTGTAGGCATTGCATTAAAAGTGTATTTTGGTATACTGGTGGGCTATAGGTAAAAGAAAATCCAGGCATTATTCAAGCTAAGCCTTGGGTTACCATTTTTTTTTTATTTAGAGTGTTAATTGGGACAAAAATGAATTAATCCAATAGGGAGCGAGTAATCCCACAGGGCAACAGTCTGTGTCAGAGTTAAAATGTGAGTATTTGCCACCAACAAGCTACGATTGTCTTTGTAAGTGTCTGACAACATTGAAAAGGATCCCCAAAGAGTGTGCCTAACATTCAATATGAGTGTCAGTGTGAAAGCTCAGGGGAGGCACGGAGCTGCAGTGCAAACATGGGTGAGAAATGGAGAGAGATGTTTGGTGAAAGAGTGCAATGCGTACAGTTACCACAAAGAAAATAAACAACTGTAGCTGCACAAAGAAAACTACAGTCACAAAAACGCTACGCATACTGAAGCTTTAGCAAGTCACAAACGCTACTTGCTTTAGCAAGTGTTGCTGCCACTGGATGAAATGCGAAGAGCTTGCTCCGCGCAGCAAACAGCTCCCATTTACAGATTTTATTTTTATCAGCCGTGTAATTCCCTTCCTGACTTCTCGGTGTGTGGATCAATTTGTTTTTGCATCTGACATTTTCTGATCTAGCAACCATTCTATTGAACACTAGGATGTGCATGGCTTTACAGATTATTTCTGCAGATTGCTGAAAAAAATAAAAACACTGAGCCATAAAACTCATCCTGTTTGCTGCAAAGGTTTTTGAGTGGGATATCTACTGCCAGCCAAACTGAAGAAGTAGTCTTAAGAAAAAAAAAAGCAGGGAGCAAAAAAAGACCTGCCACAGATGGAGCTGTGCTCATGTCAAGTTATTCATTTGATCTGGCATTAAAGCGTGACGAGAGCGCAACTGACAAAAATAAGCACTTTTACTCTGACATGGAGAGATGTCCCCAGGGATCTAATTATTCTCTCCCATCACATATTCTGTCATCTCTCCACTGTGGGTTAATAAAATAAAAGCTTAAAATCCAGCGTGGTCACTCAACTGGTTGCACCAATTATGCTCTGTAGCTACTACAAGCCATTATGCACCTATAATAACGGTGTCAGCAATCACTTAAACAACACAACTTTGAAAAGGTTTGTGGAAAGCCCTCAAACAGGTAAGTTGAAAACCACATAAACTACATAAATAAACTAATTACTTATTATTTTAGACAATTAATAAATAAATATGCAAATTCTTTATTAATAATGAAAGAATTATTACTGTCTGAAACAAGCCTCTCTTGGATAAAAAGCTAGTTTGACCTGCATCTATAGCACCACCTTGTGGTCTTAAATAGTGGAGACACTGGTTATGATTTACACATGGGTGAAAGTCATAGTATAAAAACTTGCAATGTACAGTTGTTTTAAGATTACAAATAAATAAATAAATGAATAAAAATCAAAATTTCTTATTGACTAAATACATCTTGCTGATTTTGAATCTGCTCTGAGGAAAGTCAGACACAAAAAGGACACTACAGAGTCCTGTAGTTGTTACCTTCTGGCAGAGCCACGCTCATTTTCAGTACTGCCATCAGGTTGTCTATGTCGCTGCGGATGCTCTCTGCCACACCAGGGTACTGAGAAGAATAAGTGACAAACAGACGGTCGAGTCCAATGCAGAGAGTGAAACGCAGACTGCGCAAGTGTGTCGATAAGCTTCTACCTGGATCTTCATGGCGATTTCTCTACCATCTTTTAAAACCCCGTGGTGGACTTGGCCAATAGAAGCTGCAGCGAATGGCTTGTCCTCAAAGGATGAGAGCTTTTCTCGCCAGCCTGGCCCCAGATCCTCCTCCAGAACTTTCTATACAGTCAGAAACACAGATTGCAGCACTGTCATACATCACACTGGGTAACGCTGAAGATCCCGAGCTATAGCACATGTAAGAAAAAGGCTTAAATAAGGTGTTTGGCAACCACGTGCTGCTACAACAGCACTGATCCGACATGAAGGACAGCGCACAATAACAAGCATCAAAACACCAAAAAGTGTAGTGAATAATGTTCTTACTGTAGAGATATTTGTACATAGGGCTTCCTGAAAAGCTCAACTTTTTATTACAACAATATAGGCATTTACAAAATATCCAAATGGCCTTTTATGATAAGAAAATAAAAGGCCAAACTGGTGCTGTCGTGTCTACACATTAATCTTTTTGCATAGTAGGTGAAAACTATATGAAATCATCAGAAAATAAAAGCAATGAATACATAGCTGAAGTAGTTGTAAATCCAGTTCCATAACAAGATACTGCATCCAAATAATTGTCCGTCTTTCTGTGTTAGACCTGTAATAGACTGGTGTACTGGTTTAGAGAATGCTCTACCTCTTTCCCTGTAACAGCTAGGATAGGCTCCAGCCTCCTACAACCCTGAATTGCATAAGTGGTTAAGGAAACGGATGGATGGGTATTGTTTGAAATCCATTTATGAGTGCCTATGGAGAGTTAAAGAAGTAGATGCTGTAGAGGGTAAACCAGCCACAATGCAGGAGTGGTTATAGGCTCAAAAACAATCATGTTTTTAAGAGACCTGAGCAACTGAGATGCACAAGATATTTAACAGGCAACAGTGTCACCCGCTATGCATGACAGGATACATGTCAGGATGAGGTTCAGACTTGTGGCGCATTCAAAGTGACGTATAAATAGAATTACTTGTCGTCCAGTAAGAATCCTGTTATGGAAAGGCAAACAGGATGCTCATTCAGACATAAAGCCACTTTGTTTAGATACTGTCAGAAATTACTGGAAAGGAATGTGCTGCAGTGGTTTGAATCACAATTATGTAATAATCTCCAGTTTGTTCATGTAAATGGGCAGTTGTCGTCACACACTGTGGTTAATTATGGAGTTCCACAGGGTTCTGTGCCAAGACTGATTTTATTCACATTGTACATGGTTCCTTCAGGCTGTATCGTTAGAAGGCACAGCATGCATTTCATTGCTAGGCAGATAGATGATACCCAGCTCTATCTATCCATGAAGCCAGATAACAAAACAATTAGTTAAACTGCAGAAATGTCTTAAAGACATAAAGACCTGGATGACCTCCAGTTTCTGTTAGGATCATTGGTTTTTAGAATCTTGGTTTTGCGTTTGTAATTTCTTTAGACTACATTATTCTTTGTTTTTTTTAGATTCTCTAATGTTTTATTTGGCTCTCTTGTATTTTGTTGTGAGTTTTCTTTAGCATTTATTATAACCTTTGTAGTGTCTGCTTATATTCTGGCTCTTCTTATTGGTTTTGGAACATTTCATTATTATCTTTTTGTGATCCCTTTGTTTCCCCAGTCAGCCCCCCCATGTCTGTCCGCTCTGCATGTGTTAGTCAGTTTCTGTACAAGATGATTCCTGTTTTACTGTGATAGTCTCTTGTCTCGTGTGCGTTATGTTCAGTCTAACTTCCCTTGTCTTGTTATTCATGATTTCCCGCCCGGAAGTGTCTCCACTTCCCCTAATCACCCTCCTGCTTATAGACAGTATCTGTCTCCCTCTGTCCTTCGTCAGTGTACTGTTCATTTCATTTCCCTGGTGTAGTCCGTTTCCTGGTCTTCGTTCCCTAGCATCTCAGCTCCTTAGTGAGTTTCATTTGGCTTAGTTTTGTGTTTTGCCTCATGAGATTTTTAACAGCTCAATAAAGGACTCGCCTTTTTAAAAACTGCCACCTGCCTGTGTTGCACCTTGGGTCCTCACACATCATATTCTGACAATTTCCTGCTTCTAAGATTAGATAAAACTGGTCGTAGCAGATGGCTGCCCCTTCCCGAGCCTGGTTCTACCAGAGGTTTCTTCCACTTAAAGGGGGGGGGGGGTTCCTTTCCACTGTCGCCAACTACTTGCTCATGGTAGGGTCACCCTATTGTTGGGGTTTTCTCTCTATTATTATACGGTCTTTCCCCTTACAGTCTTGAGGAGACTGTTGTTTTCATTTCAAGCTTTGCAAATAAAACGGAATTGAAATAATTGTGTGAAAATAGCTGAAGAGCCAGTAACAGGTCTTGGGCTTACAGTCATCTGCCATGTGGGCATGAAGTCTGCACTCTGTCGGACCCTCTCAAAGATCTTCTGCAGTTGGGGGTTGATAAAGGAGTTGTCTGAAGAGAAAAAGCCACTGTCAGAGAAATCCTGTGAGGACATCTAAAGAGCATTTTGCGTGCAGCCCGTGTTACAGCGTGTACCTTGTATGCTGAGCATCTGGCCTATCTTGAGAGCAGCTCCACGGACCTTACACAGAGTGCTGACTATTCTCTCAGCATTGGCCTCTGACAGGAAGGGAGAGTCGAGCAGGGAGCTTACATCTGTAAACAGAAGTAGTATTAGTAATGATATTAGGTGCAACATATTAAGAGTATCATAGCATGACAGAAGTCATTTATTTCATTTAAACTGCTGCATGTAAATAAGCTCTGGCCTTAAACTGAGACAACTGTGGATAGTGGAGCATAAAAGCTGAGCAGTGGTACATCATCAAGCACTGCTCATTTAACACATATTACAGGGAGTGCAGAATTATTAGGCAAATGAGTATTTTGTCCACATCATCCTCTCCATGCATGTTGT